ACGCATCAGACACAGACATATGCATTCTTGCCTGCAGCAAGGGGGTGTTGGCTTTGCTCCCGAACTCACTTTCTACAAGATTCTAGTGACTAACCCTTCTTAAGAGGGCAGAGCCAAACAGGTTCATCTTAATTTAAAGATCACCAGCAAAGGGCCTGGCTTTAGTCATGGAGTTGCCAGTCACTTGGGATTGGTAAATAATCTCGGGGTAGTGGTTGTGAAAAAGGAAGCAGAAGTACTGAAATAAAAAGGGAGGGGCGAAGGGGCTAGAAAGGAAGTAAGACAGGTGGAAGCGTATGACTTTTTCAACTTCCTGATGGAAAGATACCAAAAGAAATAAAACTTTTCCAACTCTGAGAACCTTTCTTTGGCCATATTTGGATGTATATGCCAACTTCAAATATATATGTATATGCATACAGATATATACACACACGTATCACCTGCTATATCATATATAGTTGCTATTCATCTGTATAGGATACATTTTATTTATTTATTTACCTATTTATTAAAGATTTTTCAATTATTTTTTAGAGAGAGGAAGGAAGAGGGGGGGAGAGAGAGAGAAAGAGAGAAACAGTGATGTGAGAGCATAACATGATCCGCTGCCTCCTGCATGATCAAGCCCAAAACCCCGGCAGCTAGCTGCCTTGACTTGGAATAAACTGGCAACCCTTCAGTGCACAGGACATGTCCAACCAACTGAACCACACCAGCCAGGGCTAAAGCATATGGAATTAATCTACTTCCCTTTCATGAAGAACACAGGATAGGTAGGCAACATTCCATCTACTCTCCACATTTCCAACGGTCATCCCAACAGCCATTTAAAGTTACAGAGAAGGAAGCAGAAGGTTGGGATCTTGTGGCATCAGCTTCCTATGGATTGCTCTCCAACTTTTTGTGTTCCTGGTTTTTGGAACCTCTTTACCATCTTCCGCATGTAAGATTCATATTAGTGGAATTATAGTTTTGATTTCCACGCTTGACATTGACATTGAAGGCCACACTTTCTAAGTCAGGGAGGCTAAGTAGTAACAGCAATGTTTTATTTTTGATCTTAATGTGGTGGGTTTTATAACAGTTTTCCAAACTCTTCCACATCTTTCTTTTCCCCTTTCAATGTTTTACAGCTAGTGTGTCTTTCCCTTCTGCCTGAATATATATAGATATATTTTATTGATTTGAGAGAGAAGAAGAGAGGAAGAGAGAGAGAGAGAGAGAGAGAAACATCTATTTGTTGTTCGACTTATTTATGCATTCATTGGTTGATTCTTGTATGTGCACTGACCGGAGACTGAACCCAAAACCTTGGTGTATCAGGACGATACTCTTAACCAACTGAGCAACTGGCCAGGGCTTGCCTGAATATTTTGGCTTCCTAACCCAACTCCTTTATATTCTCTTTGCTTTGAAACATTTCTTTCAATGATTTACATTTGCTTTTCCAGTATATATCCTTTACACCAATTCACTATCTACAGCTTGCTATGAAGAGCACTCTAATATTGAGAACATTATAGTTTTTTGTGAGAAGCCCCCAAACCACAAGTAAAATAATACCTTTCTTGTAAAAAAAAAAAAATAGCATTATGCACCTTACTTGATTTACCAATGGGGAAACGGAGGCAGAGAAATTAATAAGATTTGATCTAGGTCATAGACAAGTCACTGATAATATTCAAACTATGAGATCAGACTCTCAGACTAGTGCCTGAAAGCTAAAGACAAAAGGGCCTAAGATGAGGATTATCTTGATTCTTTTTTTCCTTTCTTAACTTTTTATTAAAGTATACAACTTGCATAGATTTTTCATTTGCAGATTTTCAAGGGCTTCTAAATAGAGATGCCTAGAAATCTGTTATTGGTAGGACTTACAACTTTTTGACACATTACTGATTTTCCCACTCCTTCTGAAATACTATGGAGGGAAATGAATTTCTTTTTTTAAAATCAAAGGCTGTTTATTGGACCTAATATTATCATATTATACTATCGGGTATCCACCATAATTTTATTTTATATTTGAAACATCGTTATTCAAATATAATTCATATACCCTAAAATTCACCCATGTAATGGTTTGGGGCAAATTCAAAGAGCTATGCAACAACCACCGCAATCTAAGTATAGAACATGTTCAACTCTCATTCTTTTTTTGGGGGAGGGGGTTCAATTATAGTTGATAGTCAATATTATTTTATATTAGTCTCAGGTGTATAGCATAGTGGTTATGCAATCATATACTTTACAAAGTGTTTTCCCTGATATTTCCGCACTCACCTGGCACCATATATAGTTATTACAATATTATTGACTATATTCCCTATGCAGTACTTTCCATCCCCATCACTGTTTTGTAGCTACCTATCTGTACATTTTAATCCTTTCATCTTTTCCACCCAGTTCTCCAACCCCCCGCCCCTCTCTAAGGGAAATGAATTTCCAAAAGTACATATGTCCTTCATTTCAGTTATTCCAGAGAAGACTGCCTTGAGCATATGTGAGATTGTTAGCTAGTCTTTTAAAAAATATATTATTATAGGAACTATATGCAACCTTCAATTCTTCTATATCAGTGGTCGGCAAACTCATTAGTCAACAGAGCCAAATATCAACAGCACAACGATTGAAATTTCTTTTGAGAGCCAAATTTTTTAAACTTAAACTATACAGGTAGGTACATTGTTATTAACTTAATTAGGGTACTCCTAAGGCTTAGGAAGAGCCACACTCAAGGGGCCAAAGAGCCACATGTGGCTTGCGAGCCGCAGTTTGCCGACCACTGCCTATATCAAGTTGTAGGTGGTAAGTCTGGGTTTACTCTTGACTTGCTGCATTAGAACCTTCTGAGTCATGGGACTAGAGATTGGGACAATTAAGTCCTCCCCCCCCCCTTTTCCTCAATAGGGTCACAAGCACTGCTGCAATGACGCCTATGGCCCTACTATTTCTTTTGGTTTTGGTTTTGGTTTAAAAATCATTTTCTGCGTGTTTTTTTTGTTGTTTTTTTTTTTATAAAAAATGGTGGCCTCTAGTCAGGTTCACAGAGTAAGGCACTGTGCTTTCTTGTGAGGCACACATCTTGTATATAAAGGAAAAGCTACAGGCTGGATAAAATACTCTCTCTTGGTCAAGTGGTTAGTTGGGTCAATAACAACTGAGTTGTATTTTGTGCAAGGCTGAGTACTGACAGTTACAAAAATAATTCGAAGTCAAGCTCTTGCTAGTAGTACATCTTGAAAAGATATACATATAAAAACAAATTTAAAATAGAACTACAGAACACATTTACATAAGTCAGCAAAAGCCAGTACTTGGGAGCTGATGATATTTTTTCTGTACTAAGACTTTGAAATCCAGTGTGCATTTTATGTTGACCACGCATCTCAATTCTGACTAGCCACATTTTGGATGCCCAGTAGCCCCATATGACTAAGTGGGTTAGAGCTGGATGGAGTTAGTCAATGAGGACTTTCTGGAAAAGGTGAGTTTTAAAGGAAGGGAGGAAGGAGCAAGAGGTCTTTCCAGCAATAATGCATGAGCATAGTAGGGAAGAGAGAATAAGCCAGCTGTAAGGGCCAAATAGTAAACAGGTTAGCTTGCTAAGACTGGAGAATATATATTAAAGGATAGGAAGAAACAAGTCTGAGAAAATGGTAAGGACAGTTCACAGACAGCCTTAAATGGTTATAAGCTGAATTTTCTTTAGCTGACCAAAGAGAGACTTATGGGTTCCTGCATAATGAAAATAACTTTTTAAGTAGCTGAGATACAGATATATTAGAATAAATCAAAATGGGAGACTTAGAAAAATAGGGAAATTGCTGCAAAATTTTCTAGGAGATGAGAGAAAGAGATAGAGATAGAGATAGAGATAGAGATAGAGATAGAGATAGAGATAGAGATAGAGAGAGAAAGAGACAGACAGACAGACAGACAGACTGGGTCCTACTGCCAGCTCTACCATGTATTAGCTATGACCTTGGGTAAGTCACTGAATTTCTGTGTGCCTGTTTTCTCATCTGTAAAATGGGGATAATGCTATCAACCTAACACAGTTGTTGAAAGGAGTAAATCAATTAATACATAAAAAGTGTTTAGTAAGCACTCACTACATTATTATTCCATTTTTAGCTAAGTAGATTACTAATCTATTACTATTTCTAGGACCCAGAAGTGATCACAGATATGCACCCATGTGAAAAAGGCCCCCTCTCACGTGTTAGTTTGAAAGGATTGCAGACTTTCAGTCTGTCTTAAAAGCTATGTAGGATGCAGAGGGTAGGAGGGCAAGCCCAGTGTCCAAGACTGTGCTGTCTAATGCAACAGCCACTAGTCACGCCCAGCTACTGGGCGTCCAGAATGTGGCTCGTCAGCATTGAGATGCGCTGCCGATGTACAGCGCACACGGGATTTCAAAGCCTCTGTACAGGAAAAATATCATTCATGTTTTTATATTGATTACATGTTGAAATGATCATATTTTGGATATGTTAGGTTAAATAAGATGTATCAATTTCACCTGTTTCCTTTTTATAAATTTTTGATGTGGCTAATAGAAAATTTGAAGCTAGTTGGCTCACATGATATTTATTTTGTACAGTACTGGTCCAGTACAACTTTCATTACTGAGATTTGGAAATTAAGGGGTCTACATGAGAAGGGTCTATAAAAGCATAGGGGCTTATGGATGAATCTTGTCCTTAACACGTTAAAATATTTAAAAATGTATACATATAATTAATATATATTTATACTATATATATGTATGTGTGTGTGTGTGTATATATATATATATATATATATATATATATATATACACATATATATTCCTTAATTTGCTAGGTAGCTACAGAACTGAGGGAGCCATAGCTAATTTACCTTTCAAGAGGCCACAATTGGGAAAGGGATTAAAAAAAAAAAAATTTTTTTTTTTTTTTTACTTTTTTAAAAAAGCAAGAACAAAGATGAAAATGGAGAAAGGTAAAACATACCTTATTTTGAACATTAAATCACGGAAACAAACATCTAACTTTTTGAAATCACTCCCTCAAAGGTCCAAATCACCCTGGCTTCAGTAACGTGGACTTAGGAGAAGTTTTCTGACACCATTTTTCACAGCATCCCTGCAAGTCGCTACTTAAAACAGGACCGGCTTCCCGCTGGCCCGGGGGCAAAACTCCCGCTCAGGGTTTTGCTCTAAATTATTTTCCCACTGACCCTGACTGCACTGACCGACGAAGCAGGCTTCCATCTCCGACGGCCGCCGGGGCGCAGGGGGGCGGCCGGGGCGGCGGGCACACCTCCCCCTGCCGGTCCCGTCCTCCCGGCTCCTCCAGCGGGCGGTCCGGGGCCCGGCGCCGCTGACAGGTGCGCCGCTGCCGGCAGCCTCCAGCCCGCGCCCGCCCTCCCCCGCCCCCCGCGCCGCCCCGCCCCCTGCCCGGCGCACGCGCACACGGGCGGGGACGCGCCTGGCCCGCGGGGCCGCGCACGCAGCGGCCGCCGCTGCCACCGCCTCCCTCCCTCGCTCCCTCCCTCCCTCCCTCCCTCCCTCCAGGCTCTCCTCCCCTGCCCTCCCCTCCGCCCCCTTCCCCGTAGGCAGTCCGCCCGCCCGCATAGACTCCCTCCCGGCCCCTGGCGTTCGGGCCGGGTCTCTCCCCAGCCCCCAGGACCCCCGGCGGCTCTCCTCCGGCGGTCGCCCGCGCTCGGTGGATGTGGCTGGCAGCCGCCGCCCCCTCCCTCGCTCGCCGCCTGCTCTTCCTCGGCCCTCCGCCTCCTCCCCTCCTCCTTCTCCTTCTCAGCCGCTCCTCTCGCCGCCGCCGCCGCCGCCTCCACAGCCTGGGCCTCGCCGCGATGCCGGAGAAGAGGCCCTTCGAGAGGCTGCCCGCCGATGTCTCCCCCATCAACTACAGCCTCTGCCTCAAGCCCGACCTGCTGGACTTCACCTTCGAGGGCAAGCTGGAGGCCGCCGCCCAGGTACGGCGACCCGCGGACGCCGGGGGCGAGCTGCCGGGCCAGCAGTTAGTTAGGCCGCGCCCGCGGGCTGGGCTGGGGGCCGGGCTGGCGGACGGGCCTGGGCGCCGCGGGCCGGGGACCCGAGAGGCTGGGTCCCGGGCGGGCGCGCCCCTCTGGGGCGGCGGGGGGTCCGGGGTGCCCGGCCCTGCCCTGCCCTGCCGGGCTGGGGTCCAGGCCGCGCTGCGGGGAGGCTGCGGGAGCCGGCGGGCCCGGCCCGGGCGCCCCTCCGGGGCCCACACCCCTGTGCGGGGCATCCCCGCCGATCCCCGGCCCCTCCGGGCTTGGAGGCGCTCCGGGAGCGGCCGGCGGGTGTGGGGAGCGGCCGGCGGGGCTCCCATCGTGCGCGCTCTGCCCCGGCCTCCTGACTCAGTTCTTTTCTGTGGCTCTGCCCACGCCCCACGGGCGACACTGGGGCCGGGGCGGCCATCGGGGACTCCCCCGGCCGCCGCGCGTTGGCGAGGAGGGGAGATTCTAGAAGCGGGGAGAGGGCGAGAAGGAGAATGTTAATCCCGGGCAGCCGGGCTGAGTTCTCCCCGCCTGCTCCGGCCCAGGGGCTGGGTTTCCGAGATGGTCCGCCCCTCCCCCCTCCCCTTCGCCTCAAGTGACAGTGCAGCGGCGCCGGTTCTCCCCGAACCCCTAGAGAAGCTGCGGGAGGACCCCGTTTCCGGTGGTCCTCCCGTCTTGCTGGCTGTGCAGCCCTCCAAGCAGGTGGATTTATGGCTACAGCGATGGCTGTGCAGCAGCCCCGTCCCCTGAAAGAAGCTATCGGTTTAGCCTTCCACTGGGGAAAATATTCCATTACTCTTGGTTGCAGTTTTTGGTGAATCATGCTCTCCCCCCCCCCCCCCCCCCACACACACACCCTCTGCAGCATTATCGGAAGTATTGTTTGATTTTGGAGACCATTCATGTTAATGCCCTACAAAGGTCCTGAACCGGAGACATTGTGATACCTTATTACGTGATGTATTATGTGAAGTCTGTAATGCAACATGGGAACTGTGTAGCAGTTTTCTTTAAAAAGAATGAGGGCCAAAATAGTTTGCTTCATTTTTTTCTTCCCACTGCAGTCAGGAGGAAAAATCCATAGGCCTCAGCCGTAAAGAACAGGGCGTGGATATAGCGGCGAAATGAAAGAGATGTAGAGGAGTGTTTGAATGAGTTGAAAGTGGGCAGTTGTCTTTGGAAGCCGAGTACGCCGCAGATTAAAAATATGCCTAAAAGTGTACAATTAAAAAGTGTACTGTCACATTTGGGGCACTTGTGTGAAAGCACGAGGACTCTAGGGTCTGGCTGCCTCAAAAAGCAAAACTTAACCCTGTGAAAGTCAGGTGATTTCGAATTTTTCCATTCAGAGTATGAATCAGAATGAATGCATCTTGGGTTTAAATTGGGATTTGAAAGGGTTATTTGGAAAACGATGTTTGTTTAAACCAAGTGACTAGAGTGTTTGATATATATTGGCAGGGGGCAGATGGGAGGGATTGTAAACAGTAGCGTGTCTTGTGACTTGGCAAAGGAAGGACCTAGTGATGAATGAGTTCGCATTATGTGAAAAGACTAACATTTAAAAACATTATTTGTTTTTTTACCACATTAGCTGGCATAATAGGTTCATAATTCTGAGAGGAATGTATATTTAGGGGAAATTTTCAGAAAAAATTGTCAAGGAAGATTTTTAAATTATTGTTTTGTTAGGAAGTGACAGTTTTACTTAAGTATTAGGATAGAACAACAAGCAGTGATGTACTTCTTATTCCTCTTCTATTTTTCCAAAAAGATGAGAAATACTTAAAAGATTGGTTTGGGTCATTGAGGGAGCACATAGTAATGTGCTAGATATTAGCAGGGACTTGTCAATTTGATACAAGGAAATATGTGAATTTTTTTGGTAACATGAACTTTTCAAATTGTTTCTTTTCAGAAATCCTTTTCAGGCTAGGTGCAACACATGAAAGACGGCATTTCAATATATAGCGAATTCTAACAGGTGTTATTAAAGGACAGTTGGACTCCTTAATTGTATGAATTGCCACCTTTGGAAGTGTAAAGAGGAATTAACATTAGTAAAAAGTTACATTAGTAGTAAAAAGCAGATGTTAATGTTTTTTGAAATTCATGGATTGGAGCAATATATTGTGGCATTAGGTAGTATCTTATAGTGGAAAATTTAAAATGTGGACAAAATTACATCTCTAGAAACCAGATTTATAACTGGTATTGGGTCAGTTTCCTAATAGTTGGAATCACATTACACAAAGTATGCAAGTTGCTTGGTTGCTTTAGTTACAGAATTTTATGATAAGCCCGGAGTATTTGTACAGGTTACGTATTAGAAACGTAGTGGATTTTTAACCTGGCCTGGGGCGTGGACTCCCGGGGAAGGTGAAGAAATTGTCAGTGTGGATAATTTAAAAAGTGGTTGTCTTGTACCCAAGGGAGTGTGGTCTAATTCAGCAGGTTTTGAAAAGGTGTTTATCATGGGCCTAGAGCAGCTATTTTCAACCTGGGCCACAAGAATTTTGAAAACATGCAATACCTGACTATTTAGTTGTGGCACTGACCTCTTTTTCCATAGACTGTCAAATAAAAATGACAACAACCACCACAACAATAGTTGTCCAGTTGAATGAATCAAAAGTTTTCTTTTTTTTGGTCAGATTATAAAAAAAAAAAAATATTTTTTTTGGTGTGCCGCAGAATTTTAGTAATTAGTTTATGTGTGCCACGAGATGAAAAAGATTGAAAATCACTGACCTGGAGAAATGGAACATTCCCTTTCTCGTCCCTTTAGGATATTTGAGAGCAATGGATTTTTGTAACTATTTCAAATTCTGATTTTCTTGCATTGTGAGATAATTAAGAAATAGGTTACAAGTTTATGTGAGTGGCTACAATTCTTTGTTATAATTGTATTTATGCAATGATTGTTTTTTTTTTTTCTTATGGAAATGTTTTACCTGTGCCAGGGAAATTACCATCATCCTTCAAGGCCAGAAGTCAGGATACACTAGACAATCCCTGGCCTGTGCCAACAAAATATTCATGTTTGTGATGACTAAATTGGCACTTACAGGAGAGTTACAGATATAGTAGTTTATTTGGAACACTGAAAGTTGGCACATAAATGGATGTTGTTGTCATCCCTGTGTTATGGAATTTTCTGCCCCAATTTAGCATTTGCAGTAATTTTGGTTATTTTTTATTACTTAAAAAAATGATAAAATTAATAATTTGTCCAGCATTGTGCTAGAACACTAAATGTTCTTAAGAAATTAAATTTGAAAGATTGATGATAAGGAATTGAATTTGTTCAGAGTTTCTATTCTGTTTTTTGAAATGTATCTATGTAGAAACACCTAAGAAATTTTTGTATGTGAAGCTTTATCTAATATCATCTGGCAATGAATTCTGCAGTGAACTTTTTAGATAAATGAAGTGTACCCATTCAGGCATTTAGAATTTTAAAAATATTTACTGATTAGATGAAAATATTTCTAAAATGTATTATTTTTTTAAAAATTCTATACTTCCTCATAATCTAGGTTTGTTTCTTTTCTTTTTTAAAATACTGGACATCATCCTGAACATCTGTCATTGATACTTATAGCCATAGATTACTCAAAACCATGTACTATGATACTATGTATTAGTTTCATATCTGTTCTTTAAAGGTTTTTTTTTGTTTGTTTTCTTACTCTGAGGCTATTATTTTTGATGCTTATTGTGCCTTGTTGCTGCCTGTTGTGAAATTTCTTGCCTCTTTTATTTTACTGAACTTGATCTGAAGTGGTCTAAGTAACCAGATAAACAGGCTTGTTTGAATTTATGAAGACATTTCTAAGTGAGGGTTTGATAGATTCTCCTTTGAGTGAAAGGTATGAGCTGTGTTGTATGGACTTTGTATTAACTATTCTGGCTTTCCATAGAGGCTTTTTTTTTTTTTTAACTTCCTGGTTCTGGATAATTGATACTGCCAATACAACCTGGATAAATGTGGTTTTAAGTAGTAAACTGAAACTTAAGAAACTTCTCTGAACTTTGCTACATAGTAAATGAGCCTGCGCTTATTGTAAAATTAAGTCTTATTCTAATCTGTATGTGAGTCAGTGGCAAAGTACTGAGTCTTCTAATAGCTGTTTTGTTGTTAACTGAGATTAGTTCTCTAGATCTTGGAGATTTCATGTTGAACACCATACATGCATATAGTTCTCAATTTATTTGGCCACTTTGTAATCACTTTCAATTTTTATTTTTATTTTTATTTTATTTTATTTTTTTAAATATATTTTATTGATTTTTTACAGAGAGGAAGGGAGAGAGATAGAGAGTTAGAAACATCGATGAGAGAGAAACATCGATCAGCTGCCTCCCGCACATCTCCC